ACAACTATGCACCCTTAGAACAAGCAAACAAACATAAGCAATCAAGTGCGCGCCAATTGTGCTTCACTCTAGTGGGAGACACATCAGAACAATTGAGTGATGCTGCTGAGCTGCGAACAACTGTGGACAACTGCCACCCTGAACCATGCTATGTCATAGCATTGTTTTTGCACTCTTTTTGTATTTGTTTGTATTTTGTTGCATTTTTTTTGCATTTTGTTGCAGTTTGTTTGGCATTTTGTTGCATTGTGTTTTTTTTTGCACTTTTTTGCATTGTTTTGCACTTTTTTGCATGTTTTTGCACTTTTTTGCATGTTTTTGCACTTGTTTGCATCTTTTTGCATTTTTTTGCATCTTTTTGCATTTTTTTGCATCTTTTTGCACATTAGATGCAAAAATAAGATAATTTGAGATAATTTGAGATAATTTGAGATAAATTGAGGTAAGGTCTAAACCCCATGGATCTGGGACTCTTAATATAATTACTGATATGAGGGGAAACTCCAGAAGTAAACCCCTGGCTAAATCGCTCGAATGGACATGGAACATGCAGTCGTGCTTGGCCATGTGCCAAGCTCGAGTGATTCTGCGCATCGCTTCCTGCAGTATGTCTAGTAGTGGCGCTTTTGCGTAGGCGACTGTTGTCTGGATGCTGCCTTCCGGCTGTGTTGCTCGCGGGGAGCAAATTCAACACACCAACTCCTACGGAAAACAAAAAAAAACGCTGGAAGCCAACTGATGCCAACTGGCTAAGCAAAAGCTTGCATTTTTGAGAGGCTGCAAAGCTTCTTGAAAGGGTGGTGTCAGAAAATAAGAATTGGCTCCACCAACCTACAAAACTCCAACTCCACATTTACCTCAAATGGTAGCTCCCAGGCTGCAAATATCTGTAAATGGAACAAGTCTTCAAGAGTTGAAGGCTTCCATGAAGGCTCCAACACAGGCGATGGTCATAAGCTACTTGCTGCACCAGCGGCGGTTCACGACCTGCGTCGGCTGCCGGACCTTTCGCTCAATCATTCCTCGGAGTGGCAGGCGCAAGCACCCGCAAGGTCAAAACCCCTTGGAAAGCCTTACATGGCTTTCTATATTCGATGCTTTGGAAAAAATAGAAAATCGTGTGTAACATGATGCAACATGTCCCATATCAACAAAAAAAGCAACATGTGAATTTACCAAACGGCCGGCCCCCTTTCTATGGATGGTGCCCCCCTCCAATGAATTAAAGGGTGGGGAAAGGTTGGGATGGTGACCCCCCTCCAATGAATTTTAAAGGGTGGGGATAGGTTAGGGCAACAGGTCTAGCCCAAACACCGCTTCAATTGAAGTACTCCGTTGATTTGACAACAATCACTTTGTCCAAGCATGGCATGGACATTCGACCACTGCCACTTCTTTTGTGGCACCTCAGAAGGTGTTCGTGTGCGCCCCCGCAGAACTGGTAAATCACTCTTGCAGTTGTGGTACATCCTAACCGTGCTGCGGTTCAATCAAGTAATTGAAGCGCCAATGGCTGATGTGTGGCCAGCATTTGCTCCAGCTGTTTGCCTGCTCAAATGCAAGTGTGGATTGCTTACCAACCCATCTGATCCTTCAAGGATACATCTGTGAACATTTCTTGTGCATGGCGCTGCTTCTAGCAATTGTTGAATGTCGAGGAGATGCTTCTTTGCAACATCGCACATCAAACGTGCTGTTTGTGTGGCCATGGCAACTTGGACCAGCGGTTTCGCCGAGCTGCGGCCAGAAGCCAAGTTGCCAACCAGGGGCAGCATGGTGAAGCTACAGTTCAGTCCGCAAAGCCTGACGTGGCTGTCCAAATCCCTGGCAAAGCTGCCGAATCCCCACAACTCAGACCTGACAACCCAATGGATGGATTGCATGGGCAGGGAAGGTGTCATCTCCCGCGAGCTCACATAAGAGAGAGAATGCAGCGGCATGTCCATCAACTTGCAGTAAAAAGAAAACACCATAGCAAGCATAGTTGTACGAACAACTTGTTCATGCTCAGCATGTGCAAGATAGACAGTGCTCACAGTTGGCTGGCGGAGCAGTCAAACAACCCGCAATAGCCATTGGCTAGCCAAACTACTAAGAACAATAGATGCCTGAGCAGCTTGGTACGCAACGACACGTCAACCCAAACGCAATGACAGTCAATGCCTTGGCAAGTGGACTTGCAGCCAGGGCACACGCCATACATGAGCGCGTATGCTGGCATCTCCTCATCTGACAAAGGCACATCGGCCATCAAGGCGCGGAACAAAGGGCATGGTGGCTATGCATCCAACACTTGCTTTGACTTGCACACGGTCCTGCATGTTGTCTCTCAGCATCCGCCATGCGAAGAGCAAGAGGATTCCTGCGACATTTGACTGGCCAAATTGCCAAAGGTGCGAATCAGTGGCAAATTCATGACCATTTGGATAACATGTAGCTGAGCAATAGCGTCTCCGAACATATTGGAAGTGCAAAAATCTAGCATTTGAACATCCATGAAAGAGCCCAATCCCTGAGCAGCAACGCACATGGAAGCTCCCACATATTTGCATGCCACCTGGTAAACAACGAGCCAGCCACCCTGTCAGCAAAGTTGGAGGTGACACGCATGGGCAATTGGAGAGCGCTCTATTGATTGTTCAAGGTCGCAGCCTTGCGGCACGAAACACAGTGTTCAAGCACTCGACCTGCCCTCCAGAACGGCTTGCACGGAAGTGCGCATGCCTGTGTCCCGTTTTCACCGTAACTGTTCCCCTGCGTGCCACTGTAGACGACCTAATGTCAAATTCCCGCACATTTGCGTGTGCGAAAAAAACTTCTAGTTAAATCAACGCACGGAGAAAAACGAATAAACGACTGAGGAGCACTAATACTGTTCAGCGAAGAGTTTTGCAACAGCAATATTTTGATAGCTCGTTGTCCTGCAGCCATTCCGGCTTGTTCTAATTCGGACACATGATTGGCTAGAGAGAACAGCTTGCAAAGGTAGCTTGACCCTTGGGTGACCACTACACCGGAAAAGAAGCAAATGCTGCCAAAGCGATAGTGCCTGCGGACATTCAAGTTTCAACCGCAACCAGCGCAACGTGCTTCAGTATGAAATAAGATTGGGCATATGGCACCGCAGGGCTGTGGTGCAAGCCCCAGATTTCCTGAGATGGTCACGTCAATGTAGTCAAAGCTAAGGATCTGCAAGAGCATCACCTTACTATGCAGCGCGTGCTGTCACATCTTCAGAGGTGTCGGCGCTCATTTGGCCGAGTTCACCTGTGATGGAGTGCTCTGGACGGCTTGATGCCCAAAAGCAATCTCCAGCGTGCCCACGTTTAACTCACACAACGACACATCAAAGACTGTAAACGAGAAGGCGCGTGTTGCCCACTTCCGCACCGCACCTGGTCTTCTGCCTTTTCTCGTGATGATCACACGTGACTTTATTTTGGCTGATTGAGGACATGATCTTGCAAGTTATGCAAAACTGACACGACGAAGAGTTTGAGACTGCTAGCTGAGGCCTGCACAATGGTAAGGGTCATCGTATAGCAAATCCATTTCCATCGCCTGGGCAAATGCTGGCTTTCACAACCCTAGATTTGTTCCAAAACAAACATCTCTATGCTGTGGCTTACCGTCGTGAAGCTTGAAGCCAAACGCGGGGTTTCCTTTGGCGGAAAACTCCACAAAGTCATCTGCTGATGGGTCCTGCAGTTTCTGGAGCACAACCTTTCTGAGCGCAGTTGCAATCAGATCCAAATGCGCACGGTGCTTTCGTGGGAACACGCCGGTGCATTGTTGGGGCGGCAAAGGCCTGCGCCTTGTCGAAAGGACAGCAAACAAGCTGCAGTTTAGCTAGCTGAAGTTCTAGAAGTGCAGCATTCTGAATCTATTGGATCATGCTGATGCAAGCGATGCACTGTTTGCTGAGATGCTTCTTGGTTGCTCTACATGCACCTGAGCCTTTCCTTCTCCACCAACTACTGATGACTTCGCATCTGTCCAAGCTGCTCGTGGAATAGCTGCTCAGGAAGTGGTGCCCGTGGCACCAAGTCGTTGAACCACATGGCACGAGGATTCAGCCCTTCGGTCGTTCACGCTAGAGACTTACGTGGGTGCTGAGGTTGCTCTCGCAAGTCATCCTCAGGTGACCACGCAATGAGCGGCAACTTGTCGGTATACATTGCATTGCCAACGAACACTTTCTGCACAAACAAGCAGCCCGTGCCAGTATGTGCAAATGTCCAAAGTATTTCCTCTCAATAGTGTTGCGTTGCATCATGGATCTGTGATTCCCCTTTTCATGCGACACATCTTGGACTTTCCGCGTCATTCCCCCGGTTCGGTTGAGCAAAGGACCCAAGTCCTAGAGCCAATGGCGACACATTCCAGCGGTTGGCGTAAATGGTGATGACCAGCAACGGGAAAGGGGAAACAACACATCGGCCAGTCCACAAAAGCACGAGGCACAACAAAAACTGTCCTCTCTAATCCTCGAAACCTGAGGACGCCTCCTATCAGCTTTAGCCTTGAGCAGCTTTCTCGCGATGTGAGCACCTTCAGGCCCTTGAGGCGATCGGTGGAAGTTACCGGGAACCCCGGATCTAAGTAGAACCCCCTGGTTGAGTTTTGTCGGGGTGTTTCTTGATATCTCTTGAAATGTGGGGAGATTCAGACTTTTGGAGGGGACACCCCCCTAATAGAAGAGGTTTATCAATCTGGGGTCAACATTATTGGATAAAAGTTGGCATGTTTGCACTGCTTGAGCAAATTCCTACCATAATGAGTCATAAAAAAGCAAGGGGTCCTCTATTGACACACATCTGCAAACCACGTCGATGCCTTGCAGCTCCAGCGATTGCTGCAAATGAAGCTTTTAAACACTTGTGACGCTCCGAGCTGTCAGCAGCATGCCCCCTGATCCTTTCATTGGGCAGACTGGTTTGAATGGACCCTATGACGATGCGCCGAGCTGTCACAAAGCAACCATGCTTTGATGCATATGGGGGCAAAACACATTGCAATGCTTGAAGGGTGGCAGCGCTTGGCCCCGAATCAGAGCCGACCCCGTCACTGGTCGGCCGAAAATGATGACAGGTGTGATGGAATCGTGCGACCAGCGAAGGAGGAGTGATTGTTCACAAACTCCTGCGAGTGAGATGCTTGGAGTGCGGCAAACAACAAATGAATGAGCGACGCATGCCACACAAATTCAAGTTGTGTGCAGCGAAGGCAGTGACGTTTCCATTGAACCCCTCCTGCCCCACATCCGGGAAGCTCATCGTGCACTCCACAGTCATTGGCAAAGCTAGGCATCTTCGGAGCCTTGGCAAGTTCCAAACAAACTCTGCCTGTGGCCTGAAGCTGATTCCCTTTCTTTCTCTGTTCTTATCCGGCCGTTCCGTTGAAGGAGGAGTGGGAGTTGGAACACATCCCATCCAACGGCTCCTGGAAACCACATCGGTGCACGCGTCATGCCAGCAACAACGCTGCCTGCTATTAACGAACACGGAACCCTGCAGCTCAATTCCACTGCAACACCTGAAAGAGAATGATGATCCTTGCAAGAAAGAAAACCAACACATCCCTATCACTAAGGCCCTTAGGCATCACAGAAGGGGTCCTGAATTTGGAAAAACCCGTGGCCCTAAAGGCACACCAAATCTGGCCCAATGCAATTGACAGGAGAAATCAAGTCAAGTGCCTCCTAGCTGCTTATACTCCAGGAGGGCGCGCCCTTGCAAGGCACCATCCTGCAACAACCTGCTCGCAGTGTCGGCAGCTTGCGGCGCATCCTTGGGTAGCAACAAGCCGCTCTTGAGGTCAAGCTCTGATTCTTCATTTTACCCCACTTGGATGAAGCTGTGCCCAATGCAAATTCTGGGTTCATTGCCTTATTTACTTCTATCTTCATCTTATTCTACTTTATGAGAAGTCTCTCACCTTCATTGTATTGAATAATATTTACATCTAGTTGATCAAATGTTTGTTGCTTGGAGGGCAACTTGCTGCAGACAAGTTTCTGTGTTTTGGCCGTATCTTGACAGGCAATGATGATACCTTCTTATCTGTATCTTGGTAATGTTGTTATCTTGTTGTTTTTTGTGTCTATGTCTTGCTCATCATCATGCGTTCATTAGTTTGTTTACAATCTGTGACTTTATGCTATCCAGTTCTTCCATGTCTTCCTCTTATTTGCGCCGTGTTTGAAGAATTGAACAGATGCAAGCAAGAACAAATCATCTTAGAATTATGGTTTGGAATAAGATCTGATGTGATAGAAATGATATCAGATTTCTATGTTACTTGCATGCTTACTGCATGCTTTGCGTTGCGCGGTAGACTATGTACGGGTGTATGCAGGTGCCATTCCTATGTCCATGCCACATAGGGGCTTTCTGCATGCTGGGGCTCAGCAGCTTTATGACACATAACCACATACAAGTGTTGCCTGCTGCTTCGACAACAAGCCCCACTGAATGAGGAAGAAGGTTCGCATGCCAACGGATTGACTCCAGAGACGAATTGAAGGGCATCAACAAACAAAGAATCAAGCCGAGAATGACAAAGTGAGGAATGGCACAGGAATTGGAAGGCTTTCCATTGCATTTGTTCACCTAGTAACATTCCTTGCATGATGTTCACTGTTTAAACAATTGTCCAAGATATGCAAATCACGTGAATGAAAATGACAAGATAGCAAATGAAAGGATTAAATCGCACGGAAATACATCAGAGGGAATCAACAAAATGACGAGGACAGGCCGGTTAATGATTCAGTCATCTTGATTCTGAATTCTATGTGCTTCTATCATGTGAACCCAAATCGAGCAGAATATTTGAGGATTTTGTTTGTACCGCATTCTCTGAGGGCCATGCTTGTCCTGCAAACGAGACCCCCACCCCTGGCCGCCTCACCAAGCCAAAAACAGCTCGGGTCACTTCAGCCAAAAGGCAAGGGAAAAACGTGAAAATTTAAGGATTAAAAAAGGGTATTAGATGTTGAGATTGGAAGAAGAAAGAGACAACTAATTTGGAGAACATAGCCTGTGTCAGGTAGCATGCAATGCGAAATGCATGGGCAGGGGTACTTGAACTGTCTTCAAATATGTGGTTTCACACAGCTTGTTTAAGTCTTTATGCCCATGTAAGTGTCCTGAATCTATGCAGGATGTCATGTGCGGGGATAATCTTCAGTCCTTTGTTTCTGAAGTTGGCTATTCTGCGCGCTGTGTCTTCCTGATGCGTTGGCATCATTGGGCCGGCATCACAACAAGTTAAGTCAAGCACATGCAAGGCTCGACAAAGAAGGCCTGGTAAGATAGCCCAATTCATAGCCGTGCTTTCAGGTATGGAGGAAGCATAAGGAGAGTTACTGTGTAGACCTTGGCTACAATGTTAGCACTTTGGCATTGAAGGCACTAAACGTTCAATTAGTAGCAAGGTAGTAAAAAGCCGGCATGTTAATGCAGAAGCACACAGTCAAGATGCATGATTTAATTTTAAAGTGGTATGGTCTTGTGGTTTAACGATCTCAACAGTTGCCCACGAAATCCCAATTGCTGAGACATTTCCCATACCTTCCTTGCTGGAATTTTCTGGTGGCTGAGCAATCCCCACACACTTGGTCATGGCATGCTGCTTGATATCCTGCACGATGTAGCTTGCGTACCGCATACCACTTATTTGGTATAGAAATAATTCGCTTCGGGTTCCCAATGCTATCAGCATGTGAGGACACCACAGCTGCATTATATGATAGGGATGACATGCTGACAGCTGGCATACGGACAGGGCGACCCCTCCCAAAGGAAACTTCGGGCATGGTCCCTTTTTGAAAGCACATCTCAGATATTGTATGCTATCTATGTAGAATGCTTTGGGAGTGCAACAACGGCAAGCACAAACTTTGCCCAAGGACGGCTGTGTGGGGATGGCATGGAAACGGTGGGCCCTAGATCCCAAGCAAATGAGAGGTCCGGAACTATCCACAGCGTTGGGAACATGTCGGATCCCAAGCATGGGAGTAATACTGGCCAATGGGTGTTGTATATTGCAACCTGTTTTCTACTCTATATCAGCAACAACGTTGGTGATGGCCAGGTCCTGAATTCCTGGGATGCCATTTCAATGTTTCATTGCCTCCGCAGGAGACAAATCTCAGATCGAAACGTTTTGCCACTAGTTCCAGATCAAACAACTTGAAATCTAATAGGCAATGGCAACATAAACTAACTGTACCTGCTTTCCATGAAGAAAGCAGTCAGGGCGTCGCACTCACGTCAAGAATGTAACCGTTCTTGTGGTGGGCCATTGGACTAAATGCAGTTTATGAGGTAGCATTCAGGCGCGGGTCTGGGGTTGGATCCAAACTGGAAGACCTAAGCTCAGGAAGAGCAACTGCAACCACGAGGCTGCGAACATACCGGTACATGTCCTAGGTCCGAAGCTCCAATGTCAACAGACTGGCTACTCAGCTGTCGGCTCTTTTCGGTTTGAAGGCTGAATTTGTCCTGTCCAGCACTTGGAGCTTAGTCCAACCTAGCTAACGACATGATCCCACGGAGCAGGTGTTGCAGTGTAGACTGCAAGTTCTTGAGTTCCTCACCCTTCTCGCGAGGTAGAGAACGCGCGCCTGTCGAAGACGGCAAAGTCAAAGAAGATGTGCAGCTTGCGAGACCATTGGACACCTTCTGCACTTCTGTCAGAAAAGTCTTGGCTTTCTTCATCTCGGGTTGTATTTGATCTAGCCGCCTTTTTCTTTTGAGAACTTCCTGCCGCATTGCGCAGGATGCCTGGAGCAAAAGTGCTGGTGCGGCCTTGCACAACTCGGCCAGGTCCTCCTCGGAAAACTGCGCGGCCAAACAGTCAATACAGCGCTTGCACTGCTTCTCTAAGCCATGCCGGTGAGCCTGCAACAGCCGCGCCATCGTCGCAGGCATTTCCAGAAGTCGCTGCTCACAACACTTCTTAATAAAGCTGACTTGGTAATAGTCGCTAATGGCCAGCAGCGCATCCACATTAGTCTGCGTGATCTTGTCAGGGCTCCACTCCCCTGGCATCAGCAAGCCGTAGAACATATTGAAATCCTGCCGTGTTGCCACGTCCACTCTTATGGACTTCTGCTGCGCCTCCTTCATGCCAGACTGCAGCATTCGGTTAAAAACAGGCGACGACAAACACAGCAAAGCAGAACTCACAGCCATCGAAGCCGCATCAAACTCCACCACCAGGTCGTTGACGTGCTCTGTATCGTTGCTGGCTGATTGTGCGTCTGCGTCCTCTGAGCACGGAGGTCAGGCTTTTAGGCCACCCCTTCCGACTCAGGTTTCAACCCCCAGTCTACCAAGATTAGGCCAAGTATGCCTGCATGCCTTTTGGCGGCCTTACCCACACGAAGCAGCTTTCCGAATGGAAAAAAACACTACAGAACTCAAACGTCGTCCTCTGACAGCGCTTTCACCTTCTCTTCCATAGCTTGGTGGGCTTCCGAATGAAGCTTGCTGCGCAATCTTTGGGTGTCGGCAGATGTCTGCTGTAGCCTCGTAGCTTTTGCTGGCCGGGCCCACACTTTGGCTTCAAGGCTGAGGAGCCGAAGTTCCGAAGGCGGAGTAAGAAAGTTTGGATACTCTCTGTACATCCTGCCACACTCCAGAGTTCAATTGATAGCATGTCTGTCGTGGAAATCAGTCTGAGAAACCAAGCTCTCCGACTCCATCAATCTCTAACGCAAAGCAACAAGCGGTCAGGTGAATGACGCTGCTCCGGCGGACTGTTCGACGCGTGTTTCCTGGGTTGATCCCTACGTTTACTCTGCGTACCCAAGCTCGGAACTCGAGTATATCTCTCATACAATGACCTGCAGAAACCGACTTTGCTGTTGGCCAATACCCTGCTATTGGCAAAGCGAGCAGCATCAAAATGCTGCCCAAGCATCGCATACTTCAAACACTTCGGGAGCAGATGGGGTATTTGCTTCACGCATTTTGGCTGGAAGGCGGTCATTCCTTTTGTGACACCCAGGTTTCGGGCCCGGGTATGCCGGTCTACCAAATCAGAAGCAGCCAAACATTCTGATTTCCAGCCAGGGAGCGGCTCTAAAACAAACTGCCCTTCCTAGCAAGATCCCAAATGCAGTTGGTTCCAGTGGGCCGCTGTGGCGCTGAGATAGGTTCAGGTCGCACATCCTCGATCATGCCTCATACCCTATGACAGTGTAGGACCAATCGTTAGGGCTCCCCTTCCCACCAGAACATTTCTTAGAACCTTTCCTAACAAACCCTTCTAAGAAGGTTCTAAGAACCTTCATTGTCGGGGTGGGGGGGTCCAGTTGTTTCCCTATTCCCTAGAGATTGACGATGGCGTGATAGGCCCGCCTCTGTGTATTTTGCAAGTTCTCTTGGTTGGCACTACCTGCCCAACGGAGGGAGTGATGCCACTGAAAAAAGCCGCTCGCAGCCCGCGACTTGACACCCATCTGACTACATCAAGCCCGCCAAGGTCTTTAGAGCTTCGCGCCAACCAACTAGATCATTCGCATTTTTGCATCGAATTGAAGGGCTCGCCCAGCTATGACCAAGCATCTGCCTCCAAGAGCTGCCGCAGTTCGGCCCTCTGCTGCAGCCGTTGGCGCACGGAAGTGGTCACCGTGAGAAGCTCCTTTCAGCTTCAAGGACTGAGGCTGCGAGGAACCCTCTGCCTGTCTTGCAAACTGCAAGCAGGCAAGCAAGCAGGCAGGCAAGCAGGCAAGGAAGCAGGCAAGCAAGCAAGCAATCAAGCATGCAAGCAAACGTGTTGTGACTAATCTCCAAGCTGGAGTTTGGGATTGGAGTGTCACTTCTTCAAAGGAAGTAACATCGTGCCATGCATCCACACCCAACTCCAAAAGTCCATCTTTGGGGGACGGGGGATTCTACCCGGCCTAACCCAAGTTCCCGTCCTGTGCGGCCGCACGGGTCGCCTGGTTCAGAAGATTCTCGGTACCCTCTTGCATCAATATCGCCTGCAGGCTTGACAAGGTTACAAAATGTCACAACATGTTGCAACCCACACGTGAAATACAAGCTAGCTCTCATCACTTGCATTGCATGGGGCATTGCCTGCTCGCGTGGCATGTCGTGGGCAATTGCTCTGAGGATCTAAGCTTTTGGTGACGGGGAGCCGCTGCGAGATGCGACAATCAATCCCAGCCTCGAGTTGCCCAACAACCTTCTGGTCCGAGGTCCAGTTGGCAATGATCTCCTTGCGTCTCACTGAATCGGTGGAAAAAGCAACAGGAGCGGGCACTGTGTGCATGTTTCTCTTCTTTTTTTTTATGCAGAGCATGGCTTGCATGAAGGCCTGCCGTGCTAGCAAGTATTTGAACAAGTCCGTCTGTGGGTGTATCCGCTTGTTTTCGCCACAGCCCTCCTGTGTGCGTCTTTCAGGGTACACATTTTGGGATGAATTCAATGGAAACAAAGGACGCTGCCTGTGCTTGGGGTTCAAACTCTCCTGCATCTGCTGCTGCAGCTTAACCTTTGACTCCGCCTTTGGGTCCCGTTGCAAGGGCCGCAGGAGCCGTTGACTTTCCCAGACCTGGCAGTCTGAAAGTCGCAATCTAGGCTGACGGAAAGCGGAAACGAGCGGACTCGACAAAAAAAAGGAAACTGCGTACATCAAATAAGTACTTACATATGTCAGACTTATTTGGGTGTGTCTTGCAAAGCCGGAGCTCTAAAAATGAGTGTGGTCCACTCCCTTTCAAGCCACCCCTGCATGGCCTTTGCCAGCACATCCAGCTCACCCGACAGCAAGCTGAGGGGCTCCTGGCACTTGCATTGCTCACAAAGTCAATGCACCTGCATCAGCTTCAGGAGTTGGAGCCAAGTACGTCAATAGACGCCCCAATGTTCCAACTGCTGGCCTGACAATCTGACAAACACAACCCAAGCAGTTGCAAAGTACGAAACAACCGCCTTGCATTGAACACGGTCCAACCATCAGCTACCACCACATATGTAAAGCCGACCCAAAGGCAATCCTGGCATGACAGTATGCAGTGTGTTCAGGCCGATGGAAGCTCGCGAGATTCTCTCGCATGGCCATGGGGCAAGCTTTAGGAAGTTGTCGCTGCACCCGTACACACACACAATGTAACTGTAACCCTTGGCCACCCTTCTGATTCGTCAAAGGCAGCCCATCCAAAATTTAGAATCTGTAACTGGCAATTCTGCTGTGCGTCACGTTTTTGTCAGTGTGCCCCAATGCATTCTTTCTTGAGACTCTGCTTCTCCCTTGCTAAATATAAATATATATGTATATGTGTGTGTGACTATATATATAACAGCAACAACTATATCTAGAGATTGAGTTCGCCTCCTACAACTCCCACATTCCACCCAACCCGCTCGACATCAAGGCTAAGCTAGTCTGTCACTTTTGAAACTTCCCGGCGAGCAGCTCCTGCATTCTTTGATGCAGGTCTTCTGCTCGCTCCAGCTGTGCAAGCATGCTGCCATGCTCTGCAGCATTCTCACTGCCTCGCAAGGATCAACTCGTGAGGCGACCCTGGAAAACTCCATGCGTTGCAATCCACGTAAGACCGACACCCACAAAAACTGGCAAGCTGCTATTGAACTCAACGACTCAATGCCCGGTTGTTCGCTCCAGAGATGCAAACTGCTTGACCTTGGCAATGGCCCTGCACATAACACTCGGCTGCGAGTAACACTTTGAGCTGACCAAGGGGTCTGTACATCACGTTTGGGAAGGCCAACAAGCAGGGAACATGTAGCAGGAAGAAGGAGGAATTTTCCCCAACTATTTACCTCCAAAATAGATCTAATGGGGTGCCGTGGAATTATGCCTTTTTCCTGCTACTGCCTCTTCCCTGCTTATTGGTCCCTGCCCGGCTCAAGACGGGCAGTATCGCAACGGTCATGCAGCTTGTTTCCTGTTTTCCTTATGATTTCTATGGGAAGCTGCGAAAGTTGCCGTCAGCATGTCAACCCATGCAAGGCACACTTCAAACATCTCAAGAAACTGGTTCTTCAAGCAGTGCTCCCCACGTTCTGCGCCGACCATCTCAAATGCCAACATCAGGAGTGCGGATTTGTTCCTGCGGAGGGCTTGCTACGGCAAGTTTGTCAGAGGAATGGCAGTGGGGCAGGAGTAGCTTTTGCACGGCGACACCGAGGCGTTTAGTCTTGGGCCTCGGGGCCCCATACCATTTGCAATCACCACCCGCAACACCCCCACTGACAATGACAGTCAATAACCTCTCAACTCTTAAGCTGAGACATCTCCAACAGGAAAGGACACATCCTCAGCAGGTGAGTCTCCAGCCTGCTGTCGCAGACCTCTGGTTCTCCTCCGTCGCCGGGCCTGGGGTCTCAGTTTCTCCCTTCAAGTGACACTGAGCTCCTACGAATCCATCCGAACACAAACTGTCACACCAAAACGGTAGGTTGAATAAGGGCCGTGGCTCGATGGTAGAGGCAGGCAAGGCTTCCCTAAGCATGCCCTTTTTTGATCTGTGTGTTTGGCATGGGGCCTCAACGTCAAGGCTCGCCCCAAGTGGCTCAAGAGCATGGTGGGCCTTACAACCATCAAGCTTTTGGAGATAGGAGCGGGCTTAAACTCCTTTGGGTCTTGGCATGTTGAAGAAGCGAAGGGTTGACCATGGAGAACCGAGTCGTGTTACTGTATAGGTGAGTGCAAAAGCCACACCCTAATTAGAACCCTAAGAAAACAGCAGGCAACACAATGCTACATATTCTCTCTCTATGTCATGCATGGAAAATGTGCAGGTGGTGGCGCAGCTGCGAAGCCAAGACGCTATTGCAAATGTGAAGCCCCTCCTCTGCATCTTCCAGGTCTTCCTTCAATGGCAAGGAGCGTGCCTGGGCGATACAAACCTCAAGGCAACCAACCAGGGCCACGTTTGTGTCGTGTGTATAGCGCGGGTACTTGTGGTGGACCGTGGACACAATAAGGGCCTCGTGATCAATCCAGGCATAAAGATGGTCAAGCCCGCGCTCCTCAAGTATTCACATTGCCGTGGCTGCCGTGGTCACCTAAAGTTTCAGCAATGCTTGTGTTGATGCTTTTGATGTTTGCAAATGTGTTTCTCGATAGGTCTTGATGCGTCTCGAGTCCCGATGTGCAAGCCAACCATCATGATCAGCATGCACATCATCATCATCATCATCATCATCAGCAGCAGCAGCAGCATCATGATTACCAGTGATCTACCTGCAAAGGCCTTTCGGCTGCAACCCCAGCGCAAACTGTGCAGCTGAGAAACTCGCCGAGGGCAAAAGCCAAAAGCGCCAAGAAGCAGCCTGCCGACTCTCCGTGACCAGTCTACCGCCTTCAAGCAACGAATCGCCACAAAGACTGAATGGCCCTAAATGAGTGCGGTGTCTGAAAACGCCTACGAGCTGTGATTGGTTTGCACCCTGAAGCCTGGTAGCAGCAATTGAAGAAGCTCCGGCAGGGTCCAAACACAACCAAACAATTTGCAAAAAGCTTGTACATGCGGGTTGATGTGCTCTGGAAGTGTTCGCAGCTTCCTGGTGGAAGCAAGCAATGTATTTTCTGCGCAATTGTTGTACTGATGCCCCTGTGCTTGCCAAAAACATGGACCAAATATCATCGCGGTCAGTCTCAGCCTCCATGACTGACCAAACCTTGCAACAAATCCTATGAAATTGACAACCCCACATCCACATCGGCCTTTCACACGAACTAGTTTGGGCACAAGAATGCCAGCGACCAACGTGGGCAAGTGACTGTTACATCTGGTTGACCAGCATGTAAGTCTGCAGGAACTAAGTTGCTATCACCCAGGGGGGGCGCAGCCTGAACCCTCATGTTAGTGGATGGACAGGCACCTGCTTGCAACTTGAAAGCTTGCTGTCCAATGTAAGCATTGCCTCAAGCGAGCCATCGCGCCATGGCTCGCGACAAAAGACTCATGGTCTTTGAGGTGTCGGCACTTTGCTGTGCCCGTGAACCCACCTGCTTTGTCTATTCATTAGCCTTGGCACTCTGGCTTCAGCATCATAAGAACCATGACACATGATGGAGTCTATCCAGAATATAAGAAATGCTATTGGGACTCTGGCTTGCCAAATGTCTTCCAAAGACGCAATGCATACATTGATTCGCTGCCAGAACCCTCCTAAACCTGGAGTTGCATTGCGACTGCAAAGGCACGGCCAAACGCGTGAGGCTACAGCCGCTGAGGCTTGAGATGATGTGCGCCAGACTAAGCTCCACTGACAGCTGACTTCTTGAGGATTCCGGAAAAATGCCGAAGCAGGGCTTAGATCTCGGGTGAACCCAAGGCAGGAATCGCAAAGCGACATTTGGACTCAAGGCTTCAAAAACGGTCTGAAATGGCCTGGCCGGCAGAAGTCGCAGAAACTGTCTCCCAAGGAAACCAACTGTCTCAAGTTGCAATTGCTGAGCACAAATGGAGACAGGCTGGACATCGCTGAAGCCGGCTGACAGCCGGCTCAGTCCAGGAAATCCATATTGCCTCAGACCCACCAGCGGATGTCAAGCCCCGGAAGGCGACTAAGCACACACTGAGAAGCAATACAGCGAGCAGCTTTGTCAGCCACAGTTTCCCCCCGTGCCTGCAAAATAGAAAGCTCTAAGGCTAGTCCCCGCCATGTCACATGCATCCTGTCAGCGATGGCGTGCTTCTAATGAAAGTTCGCGTTCGCACACATAGCAAAGCTTCATATTCAATATGAATCTCAGTCACAGCCTGGCCCTCTCTCTCTCTCTCTGTTTTGGAGACTAACTTCAACACATCACGCGCAAGCTCTCACAAAGGCATCGTGGAGCCTACATATAGTGCCAAGGCTTCCCTTGCAGCGCCACATATTGGAAGGGCTGAAACCAATCGGGACGCGCTGGTACATTGGCCAAGGTGAAAGTAGCAATGTCCGTATTGTGTCACAAAGCCGCACCGGATCCAGCTGAAGGGTGCCTGAACACTTCCCCGTGCCCGTGAGTGCTAAGCTTGACTTTGGCCCAATGAATTGGCGTAGGGGGTGGTCAAATAGAGTCTAATCGCTTCCCCCCAATAATACATGCACCGTATTGATCAACATTTGTTCCGGACAGCTGGGTCCTAAACTAGTACAAAGCTGGCCGATTGCTTGCCAAACCCGACCCCAGTCGTACATGTAGCAGGGGCCACTCCAGGACCCAAGCTCCCTGTATGTCTCTGTTCCCTGTACTAATCTGTGCTGACCAAAACCAAAAACACAAAAAGAGCTTAACTCCCTACTTGCGGGCATACAATTTGGGCCCGTTTCAAGGGATGAGTACATTTGTTTCGGGGGCAGCCCAACTGACCTACACACATTATCGTGTTGCTCCCAGAAAATATGTTCTCGGGGGTATTCATTACGAGGGAGAAGCGATGATCCTGTGCCAACATCCAACAAAAACCAACCATGCTACAAAAGTGCTGGGTATTGAGCTACACAACTCTGTAATTGACAATATGTCATCGATTTCCCTTGTTGGAACGTCCAAAAGTACGTTTGCAACAATTTGAAGGGGACATCCAGCGAAGGAGGAGGGCTCTCCATCGTCACGGTGCCACGCCCTCGCCTTTCGCAAGCTGAGTGGCTGCTCTGTGGCGCCTGCGCCTGCTGCGCGGCCACGGCCTCGGGGAAGTCGCCTCGGTTTGGATCCCGAAGCGACGCACGTCAAACTCCAGAAGAATAACTTGCTGCTGAGGGGATGAGGAAGGGTAAAGCATCCTTGTGGCTTCATTTAAGGCAATCCCTGGGTTCACTCCCTCCTTCCCGCACCAGCAAGATTCGCAAGGACTTTCATGAAAGAGTCTCAAGTTGGAAGGTGCAAGCAGTTCGCAGATATTCGGGCTGTCAAAACACCAAAGCATATCAATTTCGAGGTGCCCTACTACGGGCGATCGGTGCGTGTTCCATCTGCTAGGCCGTTCATCTGACAACTTCGCTGACATATAAAGCTGAGCCTGATCATACGTGTTCAGTGCTAATCGTCATCAAAAGCCGCTGTCTATGCAAAGCACATATGTGACGGGAGCAAGCTGCCTTACCTGGACCAAGGTCAACATGATGTACAAACGATGCGTCACTGAATAGTGCTCCATTGAAAAGTTGGACATCGTTGCCCTCTTCCCAAATTCTAGCCTGCTACACTCAACATGTCTTGGTTGGGGGCATCGACCACTCAACACAAGGAGGATCTGGGCCATTGTCAAGCGAGTTTCTCGACTCTGCTGCAAAGACGTCAGCCTTCAGTCGCCCAAATGTTTTGCGCCTATGGGAGCGCGCCACACCTCTTCCTGCTGCTCAGGTTGGCTTTGCCCTGCCCAGCAAACCTTGCGCCCCTAGCGTCGCGGCTTTAGCCTACGACTTTAGCTACAGCTGCAGCCTACGGATTCATCCAGCGGCTGGCCGTGGCAAGGACCGTTCAAGGATCTTCGCAGAACCCAAGACCCCCCATGCGCAGTGCTTACAGCCACCTTGCGCCCTGGAACCCCGGCGCAGGGGCTAAATAAAACCCGAGCTCACACACACACACACAAAGCCTCACAATACCAAGCGCAGGGTGCTCCCAGATTCCAGTGTGGCAGGCAAGAATCGGCAATGCCGAATTCTCAATGCCTTAATTGGCCTGGCTGTTGGCCTGGCCAAAGTTGACTCTGGTGCCAGGGGCCTCTTCACGAGCAGTTCTGCCCACTCCTAGACGCATCAATTAGTTGAGTTGGACCTGCCAAGCAAGAACCAAATTCGAAGATTGCATAGTTTCATCTAAGAATGGCAACAACATATGTGCAAGCTAAAAGATAGCCTTCTTTGCACAAGCCGTGGGAGACCGAATGGCCCTCTTAGGTCTGCGTAGCGTGACGAATGTCGGTCACAAAGACCTCTCTGACACATGCTGGCACTCGTCAAGCTCATCGCTGCCAAATGGGCAGTGGCAAAACAATGACACTGACCTAAATATGAATCATATACACGTATCTCAGTGAGGGCTGTAGCATGACTCCGCAAATAATGGGTTTTTGTGGGCAACAGGGGGCTTTGAAGGGACGAGTCGAGCATGATGATCATTCTTTAGTGATGACAAGTCTGGTTGGAAGGTTGAGATGTAACAGGTGTGAGCAGCACAAATCCCAAGTGTTGGTGCAGTTTTTGCAAGGCGCCCTGTATGCCAGTTCTACGCACTCTAAGCCAAGGACTTGCTCAGTCACGTGAAGCAAGCACAGCAGCCAGCCAGCGAAAGTCACGTGTCATACATGGCGTCAGCTTGGAAATGCTGGATTTGACAAGCATGCATAGTCCCCGCTTTAGGCCGACTGACCTTGTTCACTAGGCACCTTTGGGCTGCTGTCTTGGTGGGCTTCAACTACCTGAACGAATAACATTTCAATTGGAGGGCAGCGGAAATGCTGCCTCACTTTGCTCAAATAAAATACAGGAATGGATATCCAAAGGCAAGTAGATTGCTGACTCTGCTGGCTGGATCTTCATCTGGCAAGTGTTGAAACTCCAGCTTGGCTGGCTGGCCTGCAACCAGGATCTCGTTCACTCGCCACGCTCAGAGGCAAACACATCCAACTCTTGCACCTTTCACTGCCTTGCCTTGTGTAGCCAGCGAAGCTCTTGTGGGCCAAGCTTTGGGCACGGACTCGGGCAGTCCGGGCAGCTCATGTGCAACTTAAAAAGCGTCGCTCAGAGCAATTCATCCATCCAGCCACCAGTGGACAGGGCGCCTTGGCGGGAAGTTTTGGCTCTGCATCTTTAATGCCTTCGCCCGAATCACACGCAACCAATCGAGACAAACTGTCCAGCGAAAGAACCACTCGTATTTCGGGGCCGTCTTGGTCTCATGGCAAACTTTTCCAGGAGCAGCTGCCGGATGCTGCCGGTATTTGTTTGACGAACACACTGGGTTAGCATTGGGCATTTGGCAGCAAGTAGCCAATGGCCTCATTGGCAATCAAAGCATCTGCAAAAGTCAGGGCGAAAGAAGAAATGCAACATTGAGTTGGCAAAGGCAATCCCAGCAGAATCTTGAGCATGCTCAAAGAGAAACCTAAGCAACCTCATCCTATGTGACACGCAAACTATCCAAGAGTTCTATGCAACGTGTTGCAATGACAAGGCGCGTGACAAAAAGCAGATTGTGGACAGCATTGGTTTTTCGTAGGCTAAGTAGCACCCAAGCAAAAGCTTCAAGCTGAGCACTCTGCACTGTCCAGTTCAAGAAGCTATGAAAATTAAAGCTCACTTGCTTCATGATGACATCAGGTTCCATCATAAGTCGGCCTTCCTTTCTGTGGTCATGATAAGCTGCGTCACTATCTATGTGCGCGCCCTATCGGAGATCGGCCACGTGATAGTCGGAGCTCAGCTCGACACAAGAGGCCTCCCAGGCATGCTGCTTGAGGATTCTGAAGTTCATCTTTGCCAGACCACGATTTGCAAAGTCCCGGGACATCTACCCACATAGCACTCCCAATGTGCTGAAAGTTCTACATGGGAAAACCTCCTGTGGTACATCAGGTAGGTGGCAATTTTGATCCCCTCTCTGTGTATACCAACCTTGGCTCTTTCATTTTCCAATCGGCCCAGGTCTGCCCCAGGCTGTCTAAACATTCGGTGGCAAGAGTTGCCTTTGCGATTCCCAAGCCCCATGAAACGAGCTAAGGTTTCAGCAAGCAGCAAGCCACAAGTGCGATACTTTGTCCATTCTGCGTGTGCGTTGTTGGCATGATATGTTCCTTCCGTGGCCAAGGGTGACAATGGAAATGTCGATGCGTACCCAAAACATGTACAGCATCCTGCACGGTAGCCAATGAAAGTTAAGCTCTGGGACGTTGATGCTTTCAGCTTGCCCCTTGCCCTTGGGACTACTACCCCGAGACCCCACATTTGGGAATCAATGCAGAAATTAAAGCCGTGGGGAAGACACAGGCTCTGCCACCA